AACTCCCCCCTTCCATTTCTAACCGATTGTTCGAGTTATGGTCATAAGTGTATGACTTCCGCTGTGTATGAGTTTCCTTCTTCTAGACTGGTTGCTCTCAAGAGCTATAGAGTCCTTCCTACCCTTGTTACGGCCTAGTTAGGGAACTTAAGAAGAAGTCTGTTTACGTTGATTTGTAGAGAGCTGGTCCCCTTCCACCCCACCCGCGTCGTAGGCCATGCACTTAATGTGTAAACTAGAAGATACTGAGCTCGGTGGTTCCTTCCCTGAGCCCAATTTAAATTGTGTCGTTTCTAAAGCATTTTCATACTGTCCTCTGCAATGACAATGTATACTGCAAGGGATGTTGTACTTGCAGCAAGTACAGGATTTGCATAGTGGAGTGCTGCTCTTACACGAACAGCGGATTTCACGTAGCAGTTCATCTGGGGCCGGGGCATTGTCAGTTATCACTGGACTCACAATGTTGTCACTCACAGTGAAGTCGTAATCAACAAAGTCAAAGACAGTGCGCAGATTAAGCCATGTACTAACCTGGAGATGCACTCTACGGGCATGGAATTGTGTGGCTCTCTCTGCTGGAGCCATCCGTTCAAGTGGCACATATTTTGGGGAGATGAACGGTTGATATTGAAGATCAGTAAGGCTCAGGTTTTGCGGTCCACTGCAGTAAATCTTCTTTAGTCTTACAGATACCGCCTTGGTTTAAAATACAAGTCAAAACCGTATTCTTTTCCTCCATGTTCTTTAACTGTTTCTCTTTCTTCTGTCGATTATTTTCCATTATTCTTTCTTTTCTTCTATTTCTCACCTCCAGTTCTTTGTCCTTACTTCTCTGCTTCCAAGTTGAGGCATACTTCCGAGCCCTTTCGAGGAGCAACCTAACTTTTTCCTGAGTCTGTCTCTTCACCCACTGCATTGTTTTATTTTTTTCAACATGTTAAGCGTTGTTCTTAAATGGAGAGGAGCCTGCTGTCTTTTAAAAAGATCAAAATCAAAATCACCAAAAATTCTTTCACCAGTTAAATTAGTTAAGGGACATGTATTAAGTAAGTTTTGTACATCATCATCAAGTACGCCTCCATAAATTCCCCCATCCAAAAAGTCAGCAAGCTGACGCTCAAAGACAATAGTTGATTTTGTGACAATAGCATGAAAACAAGATTTTACTATTTCAATATCACACTGTTCAGAAGAGAAAAATGGCAACAAATCCTCGTCATTTACTGTAAAATCACCTTCCATAAAAACTGACGAAAGTGATTGAAAATCCATCTCCTGCGAGTCCCAATCCTTAAAGGCTTTTTTCATTTCAGAGACATGAAGGAAACTCCCCATAAGACTTTTGACTATTGACCAACTTCCAATATGGACCAGTAAAAAGCACATGAAATAAAGCAACAGAAGCAACGCCTACGGCCACCGGGCTCGTTCTGTTATTGTTTCTGTGTGCTGTGTTTGCGTGTTTGTGTGTTTGTGTGTTTGTGTGTTTGTGTGGGCTGTGTTTGTTTCTGCGTGTTGTGCTTGTACAGGTGTGTTTGT